ATTCCTGACAGAGCAGTGGCTAAAGTCCAGGCCTAAATAACTGAGAAATCTTTGCCTGGTTAGCAGCAAAAGTCTGGGAACAAAAAAACACAAGACATTAATCACTATTCGTATCTCATGGTAAGCCCTTCTACCAATCTGGTTTGTTTTATCCACAATGTTATAATAAGCATGCCAAGAACACTCCAGAAGATGGAAGACCGTATATGTGATACAGCCTAGAAATCTATCAGAAATGCCCAAAGTCCTTCTGGGGAAGAGTCTAGGTGGACATGTCTACTGTATAAATAACAATCCAGCAAGTAGACCCAAATGGGTAGTAATTCATAGACTGAAGTTCACCTTGTAGTATTCCACAGACTTTGGTAATTTGGAGTAATCTATATCCAAGGAGCCTAAATTTCCTGATACATTCAGGAGAGATCTTGCTCTATAACATAACAGCATGAATGTCTCCTGTGCCCACCCAATTTCCAAGTTCTGCTCAATTGAGGGGACAGGAGAAGTGCTAGAATTATAAAGACTTTGGGCAAGCACCACAAGAGACACCTTAGATCAAACACATAATCTGTTGGTTTTTCAATCCATTTTAATAATAAAACGCTTTTTTTCTAATGAAATCATACCCTCAATCCCGAAGTTTAAAACAGCTCAAAGCAGAGCTGCTCTGGTTTGGACTGTGTGTAGGGAATCCCTACAGCTCTGGGAGCATGGGTTTGATATCCAAATTCTGCAGGTAATGGGGCTGAGGTTTACCTTTGTGTGGCCCTGTCCTTGGGAGGTTCCAATGGAAGCCAATTACATGAATTAGAAGGAATCAAACACCTCTCTTATATGAGAATGCTAGGAAGATCATGTCCTTGACCTCCACAAAAATAAACTGTTTCTAAAGCAAGGATGATCCATACAGTGAAAAGACTTCATCTCCTAAACCAGTTATGGTCATAGTAGTGTGACCACCTGGGATTGAGAATGTCTAAGTGTATTCCTCAACCTTCCCCAGAGTGCCTGTGGAAATATGTAGGGGTACTTTAAACAAAGAATTGTCCCTCCCATAATGTCAATAGGGCACCACTGAGAAACCCTGAAAGCAACAGAAGCCTGAAAGATTTGGGTAACTTTTTACTCAAGGTCCCAATGACATACCTCAACATGATCTCCCACAAGTGAATCCTAATCTCTCTCTCATTACTTCCACTGCCTCTGCTCTACTCCTACCAGTTATTCACATTATCAAGAAAATAATCCTTTTTTCAGATGTTAGAAGATCTGTAGCTTCCATGGAGTCCAGGAGCTCCTGGTGGTCTATCCATAATAAAGAGGTAGCTCCTTGGTGGTCTAGTGGCTAGGATACAGGCCTTTCACAGTAAAAAGGAGCCATCTGCAAAGCAGCTGCATTACAATTTTATTATGGAAATTTTTCAAATTCTTACAAAAAGAGATAGCATTATGAATACCTGTGTATGCAATACTCAGTTTCAAAATCATCTAATATCCTGTAGGCATTCATCAGCATTCAAATATCCCCACTTGTCTCTTCATTTTGTTGTTTCCTTGAAAACGGATCCAATAAAGCCCATGCTCTGCAACTGCTTGATGTCTCTTGAGTCCTCCTCTAATTTATAGGTTCTCTCTCCATCTTCTTTTTAAAAAAATATATTTGTTTGTGGAGTATTTTTTCCTGTAGAGTATTCCCATAGTCTGATGTATTTCCTGTAAACTAGTAGTTAGCTCTATACTAGAGGCTGATCAGATTCAGACTGAAGAGCTTTTTTCGCAAGGTTACTTCATAGGCAGCATTGTATACTTCACCTAGGACCAGGAAAGGCATGGTGTTTGTCTCTCCTTTTGCGATGGATAACAGCCATTGTTGATCATTGCCTAGATATACTAATTCATTAGGGGTTACAAAATGGTGATATTCTGATTATGCTATTCCATTTTCACTCCTGTGCTGAAAAGCCTCTACAAAGAGAAAGTTTCCCCTCATTTTAAGTTCCCACAGGAAAAAACAGGGTAAATGCTCATTCTTTCTGATTACTCGCAGTTTTCAAAATGAGTTGATCCCTTACCATTCTCCAACAATGACCAATGATTTTATATATTTTTTTTAATTTAAATTTTTATTTTAATATCATTAATGTACAATTACTTGAACATTATGGTTACTAGACTCCCCCTATTATCAAGTACCCCCCACATACCCCATTATAGTCACTGTCCATCAGCGTAGTAAGATGCTGTAGAATCATTACTTGTCTTCTCTGTATATACTGCCTTTCCCGTGTCACTCCCCACCCCCACTACATTTTGTGTGCTCATCGTGATGCCCCTTTTCCCCCCTTATCCCTCCCTTCCCACCCATCCTCCCAAGTCTCTTTCCCTTTGGTAACTGTTAGTCCATTCTTGGGTTCTATGAGTCTGCTGCTGTTTTGTTCCTTCAGTTTTTGCTTTGTTCTTACACCCCGCAGATGAGTGAAATCATTTGATACTTGTCTTTCTCCACCTGGCTTATTTCACTGAGCGTAATATCCTCTAGCTCCAGCCATGTTGTTGCAAATGGTAGGATTTGTTTTCTTCTTGTGGTTGAATAATACTCCATTGTGTATATGTACTACATCTTCTTTATCCATTCATCTCCTGATGGACACTTAGGTTGCTTCCATTTCTTGGCTATTGTAAAGAGTGCTGCAATAAACATAGGGGTACATATGTCTTTTTCAAACTGGGCTCCTGCATTCTTAGCGTAAATTCCTAGGAGTGGAATTCCTGGGTCAAATGGTATTTCTACTTTTAGTTTTTTGAGGAACCTCCATACTGCTTTCCTCAATGGTTGAACTAGTTTACATTCCCACCAGCAGTGTAGGAGGGAGGGTTCCCCTTTCTCCACATCCTCGCCAACATTTGTTGTTGTTTGTCTTTTGGATGTTGGCCACCCTAACTGGTGTGAGGTGATATCTCATTGTGGTTTTAATTTGCATTTCTCTGATGATTAGGGATGTGGAGTATCTTTTCATGTGTCTGTTGGCCATCTGAATTTCTTCTTTGGAGAACTGTCTATTCAGCTCCTCTGCCCATTTTTTTAATTGGCTTATTTGCTATTTGTTTGTTGAGGTGTGTGAGCTTTTTATATAATTTGGATGTCAACCCCTTATCAGATATATAATTTATGAATCCCATACTAATGAGTTTATATTTTTAAGTGTCATTGTGAACTCATATTGTGATATCAAATATGCTTAAATCCATTGCTGATAGCATCCATTTTGATACTCAGATTGTCCACTTTGGCCAGTGGGAACTATTCTAGATGCTTCTGAGCCCTTTGATACAATCCCAAGAGTACTTTGAAAGCTTCCTCGCTTATCCTGTACAATTCCTATCTTGTTTCCCATACCTGAAATCAGCCATTTCTCCAAGGAGTTCCTTTTAGTGGGAAATGGTAATTAGATAGCTCAGTTTGAACATGAGGGGAGTTCATTGCTCCCGGGATATTGTCTCTAGGCCTTTTCAGGATAAAGCTAGGAAATGTTTTAGGATAGAATGTACTACAAACTCACAGTTACGCTTCCAGTTTAAATTTAGAATTACAGAGATTTTATCTTACTTCATCAATAATAAATTTGTACCTCTTTATTCTACACCAAAAATCCTGATTCATGAAGACACTAACATTATTACTCATTTGTTTATCCCACAATAATTTTAGAATAGCAGTTAACACTACCACCACCATGACTACTTTAAAATACTTTGTGCTTCTTTTTGTTATTGGAGTGTATATTCCACTTGAAATGTCATAATCAGATTATTGTATTTTAAAATTACATAGATAGTTTGGTTGGGGGCATTTTACATTTTTGTAATAAAATCCCTTGTGATATGGGCCCATGTGGTTGAGAAAAAAACTAAATTTGTCAGCTATATACGTATAATAAAGAGAAGATACTGTGTGGTTCTCTAGATTCTGAATTAAATGTAAAGGAATTAATGCAGATGCCTTGGTAACACTATTTGGAATCAGCCTTTGTGTTAAGTTCATTTGACAAGCACTAAGAGATGATGTTATGGATGCCCATGGCTGCAAAAATATGACAAGGCTAAGTTTCTTGGTTGCAGTATCTTAAAAGGTGGCAAGATTATGTTAATCCACAAAAGTACCTTTCTGAATCTCTTCTTCTCAGTTTCTCTCTCCAAGTCTTCCTCCCATGTGGATTAGTAACTTTCAGAACATTGTATCCCCTTTCCTTCTTCACCTCTTTGCCTTTGCTAGTCTCCTTCCCTAGCAACTCAGGAGTTTACCCTTTTCTGTGTATTGGTGAGAGGGAGAGAAAAGGAATTGCTGTGTAAACTAAGGGAATGAAAATGGAGGAGGTAGGGGGATGGACAGCTGCAAGGATCTGGACTGGTAGACTGAAACAAGCCCTCATCCTAAACAGCTGAGAGCTCAGATTTCTTCTCTGCACAGCTGGCTTTTTTAGTCCTTCTGAAATACTATGCAAATGTTGGGGAGGGACTGTTAACTCCCTCTACCATGGATTTATTTAAAGTCAGCTATCTCCTAGATATGCTCTATAGAAACTAAATGCAATATTCAATATTCAATATAGCAGGGATGAGGGTGGTGGACGAAAGGTAAACAATTTCTCACTCTAATTTTTAAAGGCCAGGAGCTCATTATTGAGAATGCTGGAGGACTGCCTGGAGTAGGCAGTGACAAGAGTCATATAAACTGGAATTGGATATCTGACTTGCCTGTCATATAACTGCCCGCCCCACCACTACCAACTTGCACCCTATACTTCATATTCTTTCTAATCCAACCTATCCTTCCCACTGCCTCCCACTCTGACACCCTACCCCCACCAACGTTCCTGGAATTTTGGACTTAGCTATTTTTAAAACAGTCAATTCAGTAGCCACCTCCCTCCCCCGCTCAGCTGTCCAGTACTCTGGCCAGCTAGCTATACACTTCCCCTCCCCCCCACACCAAACCTTCTCTGGTTCCCTGACCTCAGTGAGACTGCAGCCGGCCTGGGGACGTGGGGGAAACATGGAGAGAGAAACAGGAGATACCCTGGCTGGAGCTGACCCACAGAATAGGCAGTCATGACTGGAGACTTGGATATCAGAGTAATGTTTGGCCTCTGGAAACAGTAAGTCAAAATGAAATTGCAATTCCTTTATAAGGTTTTGGACTGAATTTAGATTTTCATAAAATTATGACACCTACTTGGATGTCACTGGTCCAAAAGCTAGAATCTCTTCTATACCAAGGTGCTCCAATCCCCATTTCTCCTTCTGTCTTATTTCTGGTCTCTGGCCATTTGAAGTTTAATCCTCCATCTCTCCTCTGGCAGTCTTAGCTCTCTTCTTACCTTGTTATCTCAAGACTTCTGGTGAAGTTTTAGGATTTTTCCACATCCCCAATTCTGTGCTTTTTTCACCAAGGTCAAATTTAGCCTCAGATGATTAGTCACTGATACTCTTCTATGTTGCCCCTACTTAGCAGTATCCTTCACACTGGGCTTCCAAGGGTGGGGGCTGCTCCTTGTTGTAAATTATTTCTCCCCGCAGTTCTAGCCCCAACATCCTCTTTTCCCTCCTGCATGACTCTTCCCCCATCATATCCTCACCCCAAGAGAGGGGAGTTCAGCAGGAGCCCTTCCCCAATCCCTGTCCTCATCAAGAGACTGAGAACTTCTAAATTTGCAAAAGAAGTATAATGGAATGAGTGGTTCTTTCATCAGATTTGGAAAAATACAAGAACTATTGCCTCAGAACAAACAAATATTGATTTGCATGCTTGGTTTGCCTACCATTATTCCCTGAGAGAAAGGGATTATAATGCAGCTCTTTAGAGTAGAAGAAATAAATGGGTTCCCTTTTTGTTTGAATACTGATGTTTTAGAGAGGGGATAGGTGTTCCACCCTTATTCCTTCTTGCTGAAAATTCTTACACAAAGAAGGAAAAGATATGAATGACCCCAGGAGTATGTTCCCTTCCGATGGGGAGGGGCAAATAAGAGGTATGTTTCTGAAGTATTTTCAGATCCTTATGCTATTGGGGAGCCCACTGGGATAACTGGGATATGATCTAGCCACATGATTCCTTTTTTGACATTTCTATTTGGCAGCTCAGGATGGGGCAATATAGTGGACTCTGCCCCCCATAATCTGCTCAACCTTCTTCCCACCCCCACCTAGGGGTATTGCCTAAGGGACCTGAAAGTGGCCACAAGAGCAGGGCACAGAGGCTGAGAAGCCACATTTACTATTTGGGGAGCCCTGTGATCCCCAGACTCCATTGTGTTCATCCTTTTCGTGATCTCTCCAGATTCTTTTCACATCATCCTGAACAATCTTCAACTCTCTCTCTCCCCATGCCCAGCCAAATTTCTTTTTTCAGTCCCTTACAGGACATCCAGTCAAAATTCACTAGGTAGGAGGGTCATCAGCTGGAAAGAACCGGAGCCTGGGGGGACCTGGCTGGATAGGTATGGGGGATCCAGGCCAGTCCCCTAGTCCCTGGCCCCCCCGTGGCACTCCCCCAACTCTAAGCACTCTCACTCTCCTGCTGCTCCTCTGTGGACATGGTAAGGAAGGGCTAGGGAAGGGTTTGGGGAATCTAGAGGGTAGGCTGTCATACAGGGGTGGGCATGTGAGCATGTGTGAGTGGGAACAGGTGGATGCTGAGGAGTGCTAGTCACTCACCCCACTCAAATTGGTGTATTTTATTTCCCGTTCACCTTGGGGAAGGGCACTGGGAAAACCCTTGATAGGCAGTGAGAAGATATCTAGGGGTATACACACCTATTTAGCAAGTCTGAGTGAGGACAGGCCTAGGGAGCTGGGGGTTGGGGACGGAGGAAGGCCCTCAGTTGAAACAGCTGGAATCCCCTCTTGAAATCTGGGAGTTACGAACGTACATAGAGCGGGGATCCGGAGACCCTCTCACGATTCTCTCCCTTCGTCCTTAGCTCATTCTCAATGCAAGATCCTCCGCTGCAATGCTGAGTATGTATCGTCCACCCTGAGCCTTAGAGGTGGGGGCTCACCAGGAGCGCTTCGAGGAGGTGCAGAAGGTGGCGGCCGGGTCGGAAGGGTGGGCTCGGGAGGCCTCTGCCGAGCCCTCCGCTCCTACGCGCTCTGCACTCGGCGCACCGCCCGCACCTGCCGCGGGGACCTTGCCTTCCATTCAGCGGTGCACGGCATTGAAGACCTGATGATCCAGCATAACTGTTCCCGCCAGGGGCCCACAGCCCCTCCCTTGCCCCGGGGCCCCGCCCTTCCGGGCGCAGGACCGGTTCGCTCCTCCGGTCCCGCAGCCCCGGACCCCTGTGACTATGAAGGCCGGTTTTCCCGGCTGCACGGTCGACCCCCGGGCTTCTTGCACTGCGCCTCCTTTGGGGACCCCCATGTGCGCAGCTTCCACCACCACTTTCACACGTGCCGTGTCCAAGGAGCGTGGCCCCTGCTGGATAATGACTTCCTCTTTGTCCAGGCCACCAGCTCCCCCGTGGCATTGGGAGCCAACGCCACCACCACCCGGAAGGTCAGGGACTGGGTTGTTCCTGCAGATCTTCTCACGGTCGCCCCAGGATACCACTCCCTCCCTGTTCCCACTATTTCACAGCACTTTTCCCTATTCCTTTTTTTTCCTCAATCACTCCCACATCTTGAATCACTCCCTCCTACCAGACACTGGCTCCTGTAAATCACTTTCCCTTGGTGGGAATTTTACTCAAATACAGAAAACGTGAAGAGAAAGCTGAGGTGAGAAGAGCTGAGGAACCCTAGGTTGAGGACATACAGAGGGAAACTTTTCCTTCTGTGGGAGTTGCTGAGATGGAGACTAAAAGGAGAGAGGGGCTGAGCAGGTATGAGGCAATACTGGGACATAAAGAGCAGGGAATCGAGGGAAAGGGCCGAGATCAGACTTGTAGCTCTGCTGGGATCACGTCCCTGACTGTGTGTGAGGACTGACTGGGGGTAGACAGGAGGATGCTCTGGGCCCAAAATGAACTGTTTCCCTTTTTGCCCTCACAGCTCACCATTATATTTAAGAACATGCAGGAATGCATTGATCAGAAGGTATACCAGGCTGAGGTGGACAATCTTCCTGCAGCCTTTGAAGATGGTTCTATCAATGGAGGTGACCGACCTGGGGGCTCAAGTTTGTCCGTTCGAACTGCTAACCCTGGGAGCCATGTGGAGATCCGAGCTGCCTATATTGGCACAACCATAATCATTCGACAGACAGCTGGGCAGCTCTCCTTCTCCATTAAGGTAGCACATGATGTGGCCAGGGCCTTCTCAGCTGAGCAGGACCTGCAGCTCTGTGTCGAGGGATGCCCCCCAAGTCAGCGACTCTCTCGCTCAGATCGCAGTCGCCGAGGAGCTATAACCATTGATACTGCCAGACAGCTGTGCAAGGAAGGACTGCCAGTTGAAGACGCCTACTTCCATTCCTGTGTCTTTGATGTTTTAATCTCTGGTGACCCCAACTTTACTGTGGCAGCTCAGGCAGCTCTGGAGGATGCCCGAGCCTTCCTGCCAGACTTAGAAAACCTGCATCTCTTCCCCTCAGATGCTGCGGTTCCTCTTTTCTCAGCGACCCTCCTAGCCTGGTTCCTTTCTGGGCTCATTGTTCTGTGGCTTTGTGTTCTAGGCCAGCAAACCCATGACAGGTTCGGAAATGAGTTGGGGATAGAGACTGATGGGGAAGAACATGAAGAATCACTGAAAGAAACAGCAGGGACTAGGAGACACATGAAACAATGACATTTATCCAGTCAGATCAGGTTGCAGTCCAGGGTTGAAATTACCACAGAATAAGGATTCTGGGCAAGGTTTCTGCATTCTAGACCTCTGCAGGGGCTCTTCACCAATTTCCTCAGTACCGTTTATAGTAAGTGAATTGTTCCAGTTCATCTACTCCTGAGATCACCCAACAAACTTAGAGGTTATAAAGGTCCTGATTATCAGTAGAAAACTTAAGGATTGAGACTTTTAAGAAGAACTGAAAGAAGACATGATCAGTACCCATATGAAACTCAAAATCTAATTTCTCTTGGAAAGTAGAAAAAGGAAGAAATGATTAAGGAAAGGAATCTAGTTGATGAATATATGTATATAAGATGTGTTCTGCTTTCTTGGTTCAGAAATGAAGTGAGAATCTCTGCCTTTGGAGAATGGCACAGACAGGAAAGAAACTGTCATCCCCATTCCTAACTGATCTGTTATTAAAGCTATAAATTCTTCACATCCTCTTCTCTTGCAGATGTTGAATCTCTTTTACAGATGCTTGAAATACAGTAAGGACAATGTGTTCACTTCACTGAAAGAGAGTTCAGAAGTATCAAATATTGTTTCTGTCCTCAGGAAATGTACAGGTTAATAGAGAGATAAACTGATTCACATGAAGGAGTGATGAATGTGTAATTATTCACTAAATTCTATGGTACTGTGAATTAGATGAGAAGATGGTAATGAAAAATAAAGAAAAAATAATAGGAGATAATAAAGGAGATGGGATGTGAAGTGATCTTTGAAGATCAGTTAGGATTTAAATTGTTAAGGACCTTCTAGGGCAATAGAAACCATTTGGAGTTACGTATAGATGTATGATTCAGTGAGGAAACCAGCAAAACTCAAACGAAGTAGACAGGAAGTAATGGGATAGGAGAGTAGGTGGGCAGAGGCCAAATTATGAAGTGTCTTGAAAGGGCCAAGATGTTTAAATTCAATTAATAACTAACATCTATTGAGCTTAAAATCTGTCAGGCAATGTTCTAAAATTTCTTAAATATGAATTAATTTAACCCTTACAAATCTGCATGGAAAGTAATATTCATTTCTTCATTTTTAAATAAGGCAACAGAGGTACAAGGTTAAGCAACCTGTCCACAGTCATATAGCTAATAAATAGTAGAATCAGAAACTGAACCCAGGCAGTTTGGTTCCAGAGTCTTAACACTACATTTATGTTGTCAAGGAAATAGCCATTAAAATTTTTGGTTGTGGAGGGGAAACTGTGGCAGTGGCTGCATCAAAAAAAAGTACTTTCTTTTTTTGTTGAATGAAACCCAAACAGGACAGTTGGGGCAGGGGAAGCCCAAAGTTGAAGGAACCTAGTTTGTGAGAATAGAAGCTGTTCTTGTCCAGGATGTTCTAAAGTAACAGTGCTGCTGTGAACAAACCTGTGAAGTTGGTAACTTTTATATTCAGTACTGTTCCCCTGTTTCAGGTCTTAGTCTCCCTCTTTAGGTACTCCATTATCTGGGGCTTGCCCTCCCTGATCTAATTATGTATTCACCCTTATCTTCCCCCTCTTTCTGTTTCATACACCTGACCGTACTCCCCCTGAGCACACACACACACACTGGCAAGTGGCTACTGGATAGGGTGTCCTCGCTGGTCTGTCATTTCAAATTTCTTTTGCAATTCTTCATCCCCTATTCTCTCCTCTCTCTCTCCCCTAAGGACCACAGCCATTCTACCATTCCCTCAATGTAGTCTCTATACTTTCTCAAATAACCTTTAGTTAATCTAGAAAGCAACTTGTTCTAATGGAAGAAAATGGGGGAAAAAATATCCAGAGCTGTCCCTTCACTTACAGATAACATAGACATTTTACCTCAAAATACCTTTTAAAAAAACTCTTTATATTGTTCTCTTAGGTCAAAAGAGCAACTTTATCCCTCAGGTATGGGAATTTCAAATCAATTGAGAAGACTTTCATAGCTAACTGGTGAATGAAATTCTTTTATGGTACCTGTCATGTAGCACTACTTCCTTTGCCCAAATTTAAGTTTAGCCCTATAATCAGTGGAGTATTTAAAAATGGGTAGCTCAAAATAAGCACATGAAAAGATATTTCAACATCATTAGTCATTAGGGAAATGCAAATCAAATTAAAGCCACAGTGAGAACACATACTACACAACTACCAGAATGGCTAAAATTATAAAGATTGACCATATCAAGTGTTGGCAAGATGTGGTGCTCTCACATGCTGCTGGTGGGAATGTAAAATGGTACCACCACATTGTAAAAGTCTGGCAGTTTCTTTAAGAGTTAAGCATATGCTTACCATACAATCTAAACATTCCATTCCTAAGCTTTGACCCAAGAGAAATGATAACATGTGTCTGTATGAAACTTGTGTACAATTGTTCATAACAATTTTGTCTATATGAACCAAAAATTGGAAACTGGAAACAACCCAAATGTCCATGAACAAATGAATGGCTATACCAATTGTGGTAAATCTATACCAACAGAATACCACTCAGTAATAAAATAAACTGATACAACAGCATGATAAATTTCCAGATACTAATACAAGTAAAAAAAGCCAAACAAAATAAAGAGTACCTACTGTTTGCTTCCATTTATATAACATTTTAGAAAATGCAAATTAATATATAGTGACAGAAAAGGAGGTCAATGGTTGTTTGGGGATGGATGGAGAGAGGAAGGGATGGTTTACAAAAGGGCATAAGTAAACTTATAGGACTAACATGTTCATTAACTTAATTGTGGTAGCAATTTCATGACAATACATGTCAAAACCCATGAACGTATACACTTGAAGTATGTATAGTCTATCATACATAAAGTATTTCCAACTGTAAGTCTGGAGAGAGGAAATCCCGGGGCAAAATTCCTCTAAAAACCGCATCAGTGAAAGGGAGAAATAAAGTTAAAATTCATTTATTGCTTACAAAAGTGCAGTCCTGCCCATTTCTCTCTCCAGTACAAGTAGCAGCAAAACTGGCCCTCCCCCTCACCTCTCAGGTACAGATAAGTCCTCCTTGCCTGGGTAATTAATTACCCATTGATAGGGAGATGAACTTCTCTCCACCCCTTAGGAATGATGCAAAGGCACTAAAGTCACACTTCTTTCCACCTATGAACACCTATTGATATGCAGATGTACTAAAGCCAGGCGAGATATTCTGGAAATGTTACAATTTTATCAACAAGCCACCCCTCCAAGTCTCGCCTTACAATTTACTCATCCCCCCTCTTCTAACCAATCTAGTAACATACAATAGTAATAGCAATAAAATCTTGATAATCCTCAAACCAGAGGATTCAGCCTATGGAGATTAAGTAAATGTACTTTACAGCACAATCTATCACTAAGAACAAATGTTTCTACACTTGTTTACTCATTCCTAACAACCATGCTAGATTGCTCACAAAACTTTTACCAAACATTAGACAAAGTCAAGCCTCTCTTTAAGCATTTTTTTCTTGACAAGAGCAACACAATCATGATAATTCTCAAACTAGAGGATTCAGCTAGGTTCAAGGTCGCATTCAGATTAAGTCGAAAGCTCGTCCATTCCAGCCATCACGCAGCAGCTGCAGCAAGAGGGCGCTTCCAGGACACAAGAACTGTAGGAGAAAACAACCGTGATTGTGGGGGGTCCAATTTGCTGTTATTCCAGGAATACACAGGAGGCCAGCTTCCAGGCCTTTTTCCCTTAAGTGCCAGAAGAGCCAGCCATCGCCGGTCATGTGCCAAAATGTCAAGGGCCACGTTCATTTTATTCTTAATTGCTGCACTCATCCTTTCAACCCATGTCCAATAAAGCAGGTGCCTTGATCGCTCTCAATCACCGGCGACCGGCCATAGTCTGCAAAGAGACGCTCTA